AATGACAAACACAAATAAATTTGTTATTGAAATTATTTTTATTAAATGAATAGCAATGCATTACAAAGTTTTTCAAAAGCATTTTATGGTTTGCACTTTCATGCATGACTCTTCGCTCTATAGAGAAGCTCCAAATAAAATAATTGTGCCGCGCTCTTGGATACTTGGCATTTGCCATTATAATCTTGCGCTTCTTAATGATCTTTGGGACTCATGATTGACACATGAGTGCAATCGATAGGTCCAATAGTGCCTCCAACAAATGGTGACGATGACGAAGGAAAAATTTTCTTTGGAGCTTGGCGCTCTATTTGCGTCATTGGAAATCCAACAGATAACATCGAACGGTTGATTGCGTCTGTTACGCGATGAATACAACGGCTTACTGACGACTGACTCATGGATATCCCCCATTGCTCTCCGACGGGACGTTGGTAGCATCCAGTTGCAAAAAATCGCAAGGCGGTTAGAACTTTCAAACATTTTAATAGTGTTAAGATTAAAAAAATATATTGGAAAAATATATTATTACCTGTTTCTCCGTAGACAATGCTGTTATTCTTCTTTCTTTTAGTTGACAATCTAGTTGAGAAACGATTTCTTCAACTAATTCCGGCGTTAATCTATATAGCTTCCTAAACTCAGTAGCATTCAAATGAAAGAGATCTTCCGCTTCTCGACGCAAACTTCTATTTAATGATGAAGGGGAGGATACCTCGTCATATTGTGATAAATCGTATGCCAAATATTCAAAAGCCATTTATTTTATTTTTTTATTTTAATTTTTGTATAACTTAGACAATTTCCCGGACACTTTACTCTCTTAAATAAAATAAACAAATTTTGCCGATATCGCTAACAACTTAAAAATATTCGTCGCTTAGTTAGCGATTTTTCGAGTAGTTTATGAGAACAGCGAGAGCGAATATCGTTAAAACAAGTACACCGAATATTAAAATCATTAAAAATATCGCTAAGTCTTCTTTGCGATCCGAAAATCGTTATACTGTGCTTAGAGAATAGTAAAATTGCGGAAATTCCCCTACTGATGATCAAACATCTCGGACCAGCGGGAGCAGAATTTCTCACGAAGGTCCTCAATTTGTCTTTGATCACCCTAATGATACCTGACGTGTGTAAAACGGGCAGGGTGGTCCCGCCACTCAAACCGGGGAAACCAGCAAAGGTGAGTCTTATCGGGGGTTGCAGAGGTGAAACGTCGAAACCCAGAAAAATTAAACAGGTGGTTTCGCAGGGTGGTGTTCTCTCTCCGCTACTGTATAATTATTATATTTCGAAACTCCCTCCTCCCGATGATTGTACGATAAAGGATATTGATGACTTCTGTTCGAAAGTGAACTGCTGCCTTGCCTATCTTTCTCACTTCTTCACTGCACGACAATTGAAGATACAAGCGACTAAATCCTCGGCTACCCTCTTTACCAGCTGGACGAAGGAATACAGGCTTGAACTAGATGTGAAGGTCGATGACACAAAAATTCCGACTGTAAATAACCCAAAGATATTGGGAGTCACACTACATAGCCTGCACTCCTTCACTCCGCATACGACCGCAATTGCCGCAAAACTCTAGAGCCGCAACAAAATACTCAAAGCGCTAGCCGGCAGCATCTGGGGTAAAGACAAACAACTCTAACCCCTGCGGGTTAGGGGCTGAAGAATTTACCCGTGGTAAGGAATGCCTGTCGTAAGAGGCGACTAAAATCCAATAGTTCCCTCGACAGTCGGGTCTTTATACTGGAACGACCCGGATTTTTATCCGGCCAAGGACTGTCACTCCCGCAATATTCCCCGAAAACCAACAACAAAAACAACAAACAACTCTCTCGAGCTGCCTCCAGAGACCTGCGTGACCTTGGTACAACTCAGGCCTGGATACTGTAGCAGGTTAAACACCTACTTATCCAGACTCGACCCCAGCATCTAACTCATCTAACCCCTCTCTCCCTTTGGTCCAACCACCTCGAAACAGCTCGTTTCCTGGACATCCAATTAGATGACCTCGGTGACTTGAATTAGTCAAACCTGTATCTAGCGAACCGCTACAACAACAACTGCGGGTAAGGGGCTAAAGAATTTACCCATGGTAAGGCATGCCCGTCGTAAGAAGCGACTAAAATACAATCCTTATACCGCAACAACCCGGACTTTTATCCGGCCAAGGACTGTCACTCCCGCAATATTCCCCGAAATCTAATACGGGGAATATTTTGCTATTACAACTACAACACCAACTGAGTTGGGGTGAAAAACACTCCTGCAACCAATAAGCAGTGGGGCGTTTGACATAACCATCACTTACTAATATTTTTAAAAACAACATTAGTGGGCGTTGTCCCAATTGTGGTAACTCATACGATACGATTTTTTGGGGTAAAATCGATAAAAGAGAACACGTTTGAATATTTTTTTATATTAATCACGCATGTTGCAGAAAAGTCGTGGAATGAAAAGAAATGAAATTTAAAAAGTAAACTCTTCATTTTGGCTGTTCGCAAAAATAGTGATTCGACGTTACATTTTACTTTTCGAAAAGAACTATTAAACAGCGGATGGCAGTTGGCAAAATTAAAGATTAAAGTGCGAATGAAATTTTATTCATGAGTTTTAGTTAAATAAAATAAAATAAAATAAATGAATAAGATGCAAAATTTTCTATATGCGAGGAAGAAAAAAATACAAAGATAGATTTCATTCCAAAACATGAGATTTATATGACGAGAACTGAAATGCAATATAGGTTTCTGTTGTACAAGTTCATTTCACCTCATTTACAATATTATGCGGTGTTTTTATCATGATAAAAAAATAACTAAGTGAATTAAGTAGAGTACGTTGTACTTTCCAATTTAAAAAGTAGGGGCCGAAAGAAACAAAAATCGGGAATTTTAGGGAAATTATTGATTTACTTTATGGAAAATATATATGTATGTATACAACATTTATTTATATAATTGAAGCTTTGTAACTGCTGAAGCGATTTTCGGCCGAGCTCCAACAAATGTAGGGACTTACAATTTATTCTAAGCTACCTCGGATGGATTTTTATGAGAAGCTTTTATTTCATCTCAGAAATACACTTGGAGGGGTTGACATTCCCTGTTGAGGGCCATTAAGTTAATTTTTTTTATTGGAATTAATATCCTATAATTTTAGATGATGGTCACGCCAGTTCCTTCCGCATGGTAGTGCGCATTGCTAAACACACGGCTTGCTTCAATATAAAGATATACATTTTCAAAAATTAAGATAATAATAGACGAACAATACAAACGTATATTTATAGTATTTACGTATGCGAAAAATCTCCTAGATGTGAAACGCAGTTGCATTATAAGAATAAATATATTTATTGTAAGTTTAAATTATTAAAATGTACATTATATCCAACAAATTACTTGATATTATGATATACATACATAACATATTTTTTCAAAGAAAAAAAATTAAATTTAATTCATAACGGAATGACATTTTAGCAAATATTGAAAAATACGTAGTGATGTTTAGTCTATGACATTCATTGATGAAAATTTTTAAGTACACCCCATTTTCTAACATTAACATGGGTTTGTATGTGACAAAATGCGACATTTCCATCCGAGGACCTCTGCTAGAAAAATTTAAAATAATCATTTTTGGCAAAAAAATAAAATAAAATTGGACTAAAAGATGTACACTTGAGGCAATTTCTTCACCAGTTAAATCATTACCCACAGACAGGAAGATAGTAATCACTTGATGCGAGGTCCGAACTAAAAGATGGATACATACGAACCTCCCAACCAATCTTTCAGAGTTTAGGGCGAGTCACCATGCGGTTGTTGTTGTAGCGGCTACGCGAGTCACCATCGATGTGTGCGGTGTCCTGATGAAACACAGTTAGGGTGTAGCTCGTAATGGATGATTCCTTACATTCCCACCAAATACACAACAAATCTTTCCTGCTCGTCAATCCTGTCTATCGCTGACTCACTCAGCAGCGATTCACGGTGGAAATTTGGTCCATGGAGTTTTTTTTTGTCGTCAATTCATACATACATAGAGTTTATTTGTGTATCCAGCCTTTTTCCAGACACAATTTGTCTTGCAAATCAAAACATTCCTCACATGATGGTCGAGCTAGACAATTTCCATTATTTTATCGCCATTTTCGAAATCAGCAAAGCCATAATAATGCATGATTCAGCTGCTTGACATGTGTTTTCGCCTTAATCGAAGACATTTTTTAAAATATAGCGTATTTATTCTTTGCTCGTGCTCATCTTTGACATTCGCTCAAAAACTACTGCCCCTATACTACTATATTGCAAAAATAATGGATGAGTTTTTACTTGACTTAATATTTGGAGGCAATATTGGTCACCACGCTTTATTTTCCTTATCTTATCATCAGAGGTGTCATGGTCTCCAATTTCTTATGTGCGTGTTGTCATTATTGCGGCCACCAATATCCAATACATATTATATTAAATAAAATTACACCAATAAAATCCAGAGTTCTCTTTCATTTTTGGATGGATTTTGAACTACGATAACAGCCATCCGACCGAATTTTTTTTTCAAAAACGCAAGTTACAACTATTCTCATTTTCAGTCGCCATAGAGGACGAAAAAGAGAATAGCGGCGGTTATATTCAGAAAACGTGTTTAAAATTTTTTTAAATGACCGAATTTTTCATTTAGATAGGTGTATCATATCGGAAATGGAACAAGGAATGAATGAATGTTAAAAATATAAGTCTATTCGTTTTATTGACAAATTCTCGGTACTTTTTTGAGTCATGGTTTTTTTAAATTTTTTTCTTGATCGCTTTGGGTAATAATCAAGAGTTGCACAACTCTTACACTAGCCTTAAATGCAACCATTAAAAAAGTCAGTATCATTTAGCATGAGAAACAATAAATTTTTGAAAGGTGTTAGTATAATTGCCAATATAAATTAAATACTAAACAAAAGTAAAATTTGCAACACTCACCACGTGAACACTGCTCTGCAGATTGCCCATCATAGCAGCCGCAGCCACTGCTGTCTCCGTTGGCTTCTTCTCTGTCTTTTTGACTGCGCGCTTATTTTTGCTTTCGAGGAACCGTTTTTGCAGTGCCGCTGTTTCATGGTTTTGCTGTTCGCATACGGTGTTAAATGTTTGTTCGTAGCGGGGCACACAGTCTGTCTGACGGCGCCTATAGTTTTCAATTCGTCGCCTAAGCCGATCAACCATTTGTTGCCTCTTTGGAGGTACAGTTTCGGTACCGCAGCTGTTTTGATTGATAGTCTGGTTGGCAGACGAAGGCCCATTGATATTGTTGGTAGCCCCGATGAGACCGCCCATTCCACCAGATCCGCCAACTGTTGTTGCTGTTGTTCCAGTTGGACCTGTAGTGCCCCCAGCGCTGCCGCTGCTGATTCCTCCTCCGTTGCCCGCAGCCGCTGCTGTCGTTGCATGGTAGGGAGAATGCTGAGCCTGTTGCGAATTCGTTTGCTGATGTTGCTGCTGGTTATGTTGCACCTGTATCTGCTGGTGTTGCTGCACATTATGTAATTGTTGTTGTGTCGCTTGTAATTGTTGATGCTGTTGTAGATGCAAACCTAAAGATTGTTGCTGATGTAGCTGTTGGTGGTGCAGCTGATGATGTTGCAAGTGCTGTTGCTGCTGTAGCTGCAATGTGAGGTGTTGTTGGCGCTGCTGTTGTTGCTGCTGGTGCTTCTGTTGCTGATGTTGATGTTGCTGCTGGGCTGCGGTTGCTGCCTGGCTGGCGCTCTGAAACACAGGAATGCCTCCAGCATCCATAAATACGAATTTCTTTTGCAGTTTTGTCGTCGCCGACGCTTCGCACTAGTCCCTGAACCCGTTCGGTCCGCACCTCGGGCGTCGAGTACTAAGCACCGAAGTTTAATTTATGTAAGCCGGAAAGTAATTTTAACATCGAATTCATGAAACAAACTTTTAGAAGTGCATTTATTCAGTCCCTCTGTGCTCTATTAAGACAAATTTCAACCTCGTGCAGCACCAGTAGATATAGAAGAAGTTGGAAAGGTTTCCCTCAGCAATGTATTGCCGTAGGCTCTCGAAGCCATATTTCAATTTCTTTTAATTTGGTTATAATGTCAAAGAACTATCAGGTTTACTGCGAGCATATGTACTTAAAGAATCACTGCAAATAAAAAAAGTAAAAATTTATTTACATAGTGAAATCTTTAATTTTAATAATATTCTTATTATTATTATTATTATTATTATTATTATCATTATTATTATTATCATTATTATTATTATCATTATTATTATTACTATTATTATTATTATTATTACTATTATTATTATTACTATTATTACTATTATTACTATTATTACTATTATTACTATTATTACTATTATTACTATTATTACTATTATTACTATTATTACTATTATTACTATTATTACTATTATTACTATTATTACTATTATTACTATTATTACTATTATTACTATTATTACTATTATTACTATTATTACTATTATTACTATTATTACTATTATTACTATTATTACTATTATTACTATTATTACTATTATTACTATTATTACTATTATTACTATTATTACTATTATTACTATTATTACTATTATTACTATTATTACTATTATTACTATTATTACTATTATTACTATTATTACTATTATTACTATTATTACTATTATTACTATTATTACTATTATTACTATTATTACTATTATTACTATTATTACTATTATTACTATTATTACTATTATTACTATTATTACTATTATTACTATTATTACTATTATTACTATTATTACTATTATTACTATTATTACTATTATTACTATTATTACTATTATTACTATTATTACTATTATTACTATTATTACTATTATTACTATTATTACTATTATTACTATTATTACTATTATTACTATTATTACTATTATTACTATTATTACTATTATTACTATTATTACTATTATTACTATTATTACTATTATTACTATTATTACTATTATTACTATTATTACTATTATTACTATTATTACTATTATTACTATTATTACTATTATTACTATTATTACTATTATTACTATTATTACTATTATTACTATTATTACTATTATTACTATTATTACTATTATTACTATTATTACTATTATTACTATTATTACTATTATTACTATTATTACTATTATTACTATTATTACTATTATTACTATTATTACTATTATTACTATTATTACTATTATTACTATTATTACTATTATTACTATTATTACTATTATTACTATTATTACTATTATTACTATTATTACTATTATTACTATTATTACTATTATTACTATTATTACTATTATTACTATTATTACTATTATTACTATTATTACTATTATTACTATTATTACTATTATTACTATTATTACTATTATTACTATTATTACTATTATTACTATTATTACTATTATTACTATTATTACTATTATTACTATTATTACTATTATTACTATTATTACTATTATTANTTATTATTATTATTGTTATTATTATTATTGTTATTATTATTATTGTTATTATTATTATTGTTATTATTATTATTGTTATTATTATTACTATTATTATTATTGAATTATTCATTATGTAAAAAACGCGAAAATATTTAGCTTTATTATAATCTTATTTATTCGAAAATATTGTTTTTAATTAAATTTTTTTTTTTCATTGTTGCAACCACTGCCTTGAATTTGTGTATGTATGTAAATGTGTATAAATTGTTGCTCAGAACCGTAATTGACAGTTAATGATCAAACAATTTTTAGTGATACATTTTATAATAAAACATAAAAACGATCTACATATATGTAATAGTAGAGGTATTTTTTGCTTCAATTTCAGTTTCCATAAATTTTGGTTTTTATAAAAAATTAATCACGTCGCAACATGGGAAACAGTTTGGAATCTGCACTTAGTCAATATTTACATACGATTGCACTGAGTATATCTTCACATCGTTAGCGTAATACGTGCTTGCTCAATACGTCTTATTTTTAGCTGAATGATAGATGGATGATTCATAAAATAGCCAAAAGAATTAAAAATTGGAAACTATATCGCTCTAAAGTCGATGACTGACTGGCAAAAATACGACAAATGACGTGCAGTACAACACGAGAGCTGTTCTGTTTTTGGCGAGTTGAATAGAGTTCGTTAGCTAAAGAAGTGAGTAGGAAAGTATAAAAAGTAGTAGCTGGAGGTGCGGAGGCCAGTTCATTCGGCAACTACTTACAGTCCGCTCTCAACTGTTGTTGATAGAGAACATCGGAAACGATGTATTAACAGATACGAGAAGTAAAATACCAACAACGTTGATTGTTGAGAACAACAAAGATTATTGCTTGTATGGCTTGCTTCGAAATACATAATCGATTGGCTGTATTCTTGTTTATGTTTTCAAGAATAATGGGTAGTGCTTTGCTGTTCGACTGCATGCATGATTGGCTGTTCGCTGTCAACCTTCATACTTTGTTTGCTTACCACAACAGATTTCTTTGGCCGAATTATCAGCATTGTACAACTAAGTTATTTATATTAAGCAAGTATGTAAGTAATTAGAACTTGAAAAATTGCTACCAATATTGGGGAAGCATTAGAAATAATTTAAAGGTTTTCGTCGTAACCACCTCCACAATATCATCAATAATGAGAAGTGTTATCACTAATGCACAAGATAGATGTGTACATATGTAACCAGATAATCTCCGTTACATGTTTGTACATGAATTTATTTATCATCGCTCAATATAACACAAATAGGATAGATCCACTAAATCATTAATTTCACCCACATTCACCTAAACGAAGTGGAGCCACATATCCTATATTTAGCTGTTCAAAATCACACTCAAACACATGAATATAGATTTATCCCTCTGACGATTACCCGATTTGTAAAACACGTCGAAAACTGTTACGATTAGAATAATCTTTTGATTGTTGCTGTATATAACGGCTGATGATGGATTCATTGGAATGTTTGTTAAAAGTCTAGAAATTATATAAACATTATGAAAGAAAGAAAAACCAAAAATAACACTCAAAAATGTTTTTTGAGCATTTTTCATTCGTTTTATCCCAAAATCAGGAGATAATGTACCCTTTCATTAATGGATATAAATAGAAGTTCCTACCACTTGTATTGATGTAGATCAACTCGTTTTAGTTTAAGAAATCGTTTCTCAACGAAAATTGCCAACTAAAAGGAATAAGAGTAACGGTGATATCTACAGAAAAACAGGTAAACAAATGTGGTATTATACTAATCTAGGAAATGCGTGCTATGCAAATGTTTCTAGGAAAATTTACTAGAGAACGAGAGTACTCCTGTTGCATGTTGTGGCAAATTCAAGTCAAACAATTAGCTGACCCAGGGTTGCTGCTTTTTTATTCTTGCAAAGGGTGGGAAATAAATATGTATATATGCATAGGTTTGGGTACTTGATATTGTGCCATTACATGCAAGCATGTTTTTCCTAGATAAAAATAGAAATTTGTGCTTCATCATCCTCACCAATAGAGCTATCGTATTGTGTATAAAAATACACACATATGTACATACATATGCATGTGATCCTAACCTCAATTTTTGAGGGTAAATGTTTTATACTCCATAGCGCGGCAACTCATATTATAAAAATAATATGCTATCACGATTTGTTTTGTTTTCATTATTATTCTTTGTGCTTTTCGCATGTTATGACGTTTTTTTGAGTTGTGATGTCACCTTTCCACCATTTTAACAAAAAGGAAATGGCAGCTATCTAGTATCGTTAAAAGTGAGTTAGCTAATCACATAAACTTTCAAGCCCACAACTAAATTCGTAATTAATTATCGTGGTTCCCGTATTTTAGGGCAAAGGCAGATAAGACTTTTCACAGTGTTACGTGACAGATTGACTTTGACATCTGAGATGAAGACATGCAACTGTACCAAATTTCCTACACAACCAACTTTCGCCCTTTGCGTGAATTTAAAGTCAGAACTTGTATGTGCTGTACTGTTGGACTGTAAAATTTTAAACCAACATTTCACTTTTTTGATAGAAAAATAATTCTAGAGAAAAATCTTTTTTCGCTAAGAAGACTGGATGGTTGGAGTGAAACGTGGAAATGTTTCGCAATGAAAAAAGTTTTGTCTGCAATCGGCTTAAGTACGGCGATTAAATGAATGACACGTACGCGTTACATTGAAATTTTAGCATAAAAGAGAGTTGCCTAAAGTATTTCTCTCAGCTAGACACACGATGGCAAAATGCTCTCGCGTAGAATGAGTTTAAACAGGGCAATTTTTTTTCCGAAGCTCTTAGTTTGCAAAGTGTACAGAAAAATGCGGAAATAAAATAAAATGAAACGATGGAAAATTGCTCCGTATAATGAGAAAGAGCAACGAAAGTATCTTTGTATAAACTCAGTCCGAGCTAAACTCTGTTGCCCTCGCAAGAATAACTATGCGTAATCAATATACCGCCAGCGAGCGACCACGTTTGGCCATTATTACAAATTTAACCAGGTGTGTAGTTTATAGCAGCATATAAGATGTATCCAGCCACCCAACATACATATTGAGTTTCTCACTTGAAAGCATTAACATTTTCACATGTCTTACGACTAGGTATTTCTCTCAATTGCTGCATGCATAACGCTCTGTCGACCTATGATACAACGAAGTGCTCAATAAATAACATATGTACATATACGCTTTTGCATATTGGTTGCTCATGAAGTTTATATGCACAGTTGCCTC